AGTGACCACATTGTTGATGGATACTTCGGCCAAAGTTTCATGACATTCTAGTACTAACCCTGAATAAATTCGTGGTCTGTTCAGGGTGAGTAGTGCTTTTTTGCTATCTGTATAAATAAGCATGTTTCTTTCAGTGATATTATTTCTGGTTATTTCTTTTGCTACTATGAGAATCCCCGTTAGCTCTGTTTGAACTACACTGGCACTATTGCTCACAGCCTATTTTATGTTTAGGTTTAAGAATCTGGAGTATATTCCGCATCCTGATCCTTGTTTTAGAACCGTCAGTGTAGATATGAATCATACCTGCCACTTCTGGCTCTTCTATTTGTTCTATTATAACTTTATATGGCTTAAGGAAGATATATCTAGGTGAGATGGAGTCCATGTTCGCTTGAAGCAGTGGGAATGACTAAGAATGACTTCCATCGCTCTGGTTGGTGTTGTTTTCATGGCTCCTGTTATGTTGAGACATGCTGTTCTTTGAATTTGTTCTAGTTTACGGATAGCTGTTAATTTTTGGGTTTTCGGTACCCAAACAACTGCACCGTATGTTAGCATAGGTCTTATGGTAGCCGTGTAAGTTCATGCGACGACTCTGGGGGAGAAACCCCAGGTGCGTCCCACAGTACAACGGCATTGTTCATAAGCAATGTATGCTCTTTTAACTCTGTTTTCTAAATGCGAGTTCCATGTTAACTTGCTGTCAAAGGTGAGACCTAGGTACTTCACCTCTGTCGCAAAGTTTAGTTTTGTGTTTAGGAGTTCTGGAGGTTTTTTTCCATTTTCATCCTTTTCCTTGTCAATAGGATCATTTCTGTCTTCTTAGAATTGATAGACAGTGAATGGTCTTTGCACCACTGATCTATAATTTTTAGAGCTACTTGCATTCTTTCGCAGAGTATGTTCTCAAAATCCCCTGTTTGCAGAATGACCAGGTCATCTGCATACAGTATGTCGCTAATGTATGGAATAAATTCATTATAATGGAAGTAGCTGGTTTTTCCAAAAAATGCTTGGACAGGTCAATTTTGTTTACTTAAAGCGCAATTTTTTAAATAAAATTCAATTTTCCCCCACTTCCCATTTTTGGGCAGTGACGTCATTGACAATTTTTTTAAATAGCAACCCCAATTTTTTTTTCTTGATTTTGATAGATCTTGCAATTTCCTACTCGGAAACATGATATTTGAAATATCTGACATAACAATTTTTTTTGAAAAAAAGTCATTTCAAGATCAGATACATAAATTTTATGTTATTTTGAAACACAATAAATTAATAACAGATAATTATTTGTAATTAAATGCTTAATCTAACAAAATAATAATAAAAAAAATAAGAATTTGTGAAATTGTCATTAAATTCGTTTTATTATTATTATTATTTTTTTTTTTTTAAATTAAGCACTTAATTACAAATAATTATCTTTTATTAATTTATTGTGTTTCAAAATAACAAAATTTATGTATCTGATCTTGAAATGACTTTTTTCAAAAAAAATTGTTATGTCAGATATTTCAAATATTACGTTTCCAAGTAGGAAATTGCAAGATCTATCAAAATAAAAAAAAAAAAATTGGGGTTGCTATTTAAAAAAATTGTCAATGACGTCACTGCCCAAAAATGGGAAGTGGGGGAAAATTGAATTTTATTTAAAAAATTGCGCTTTAAGTAAACAAAATTGACCTGTCCGAGCATTTTTTCGAAAAACCAGCTACTTCCATTATAATGAATTTATTCCATACATTAGCGACATACTGTATGCGATTGTGTAGTGACTGTCATTATTGAGGCGGCTGATGAGGGTGTCGAACCGAACCCTAAATTAAAATTTTATTTCTTGCGAATTACGAGATCTCTGTGTATAAAAATAAATCCGTTTCACTTCGTATAGCCTGACTGAAATTTTAATTATAATACAATTTTATTGCGACATTTTTACATTCGGTAACATTTTGTTTTTACGCCAATGAGAAAGTAAAGCTTGAGTTATAAACCGTGATAATAGCATACAATCCATTTGTATCGTTTAAACTGGACGTGTTATAAATTTGTTCGTAATTGTTCGTGGATTAACTATTAAGTACTCCCACTGCATTAATTACTTCCACAATATTCCTACGCAAATCTAAAATATCGAATGTATTCTGATGAATAATAACAAACGTAAATTAAGTCGTTTGTGTACATCAGAGCGTTTGCAGTTTTATAATTACTGTTTACTATTCTACTATTTGTGTAATAATTACAAGCCCTTACAATTAGATGTGCGGATGATGTATTTAATTTATATTTTATTTTTGAAATTCATATATAAGAGCATAAAATAATTTAAAAATATTACACAAAACTTTCAAACTACAAACAATATATAAATGTAACAATTTTTATCTGGACACAAAAATTCTCAAAACCAAACCTGAAGCACTTTGAACTTCTTGAGGCCATTAGGCAAGCCACGCTACAGATACGTGGGCACTAGAGATGTGTTGCGATTTCACAGTAACAGGTTTTGTCACTGCTTTTTGTCTGTCACTGAAACATAAAGTTCCAGCCATTACAAAAAAGCAGTGATTTTGCGTAGCAGGTTTTTTAAAAACGGTATTATATTTAATGACTGAATGAAATGAAATATTAAAAGCAGTGATTTTGTGTAGTGGTTTCTTAGAAACTGGTATTATTCGGATCTGAAAATAAGCGATACGCCACCATACGTTAAAAAATGTAACTACTCATTACATTAGCGTGACCTTGAGTGTATTTCTGCTATCGTTTTCAAACAAAAGATTTGCAAGTTTTCGAATAATTATACCATTTTAAATTAAGTTTTACATTGTGTTTAAAATAAAATTAGTTTCGAAAGTGTTCAAAATATCTTGAATCAAATTACAATGAGTACAGTAGCTAATTATTACTGTTCAGTGCCACAGTGTAAGTCTTGGAAAAAAACAAATCCCAATATAACTTTTCATCAATTTCCTGACGTTGGAAAGTACAGAGTTAGATTCGAAAATAAAAGTGGGCAACATGAATTAATAGATGCAAGAAAAGCATGGATAATTAAATTAAAAATTGGAAAACCTGTTTCTAAATTTATGAAAGTTTGCTCACTTCATTTTAAGGAAGATGATTATATTCCTAGAGGTAACATTTGCTTATACTTTTATATTACTTTTTATTAATTTTTTTTTACATTGTAGATTTGACTTCCCAAACAAAACGGCGAGTTTTGAAAAAAACTGCAATTCCTTCTCTAAAGCTGCCAGTTATTAAAGATTGTGATAATATCACTTCCAGTTTCGCAGTTTCTAAATCTGAGAGACTACTTACTCGAAATTTGAGAAAGAAGGAATCGCATGCATGTACATATAAAGATAATTTAAGTGAAAGTGACTTGGAACTTGACAGACAAAAAGTGATGGAAGTAGTTGAACATAGTGACCAGGATTTGGAAGCTGCAAATGTTTTATTACAGTTAAAAAGTGCCTCAGTTTCCAAAACTGTTGACAGTGGTATACAGGTTAATTCCCCAAAAATTCAAACTCTTTCTGATTTTCTTAAGACAGACAGGGATTTGAGTTCTTTTACAGGCATAACCTCATTAAAAATTTTAAGTGTGTTAGAACAAGCTGTAAAAAATGTATATAAAGATCAGAGATCCCACAGATTATCAATAAGAGACAGAATTATTTTGGTTTTTGTTAAACTCAAGTTAAACTTGAGCTATACAGCACTGTCTACATTATTTGGTGTTTCAGAGAAGCTGATTAAAATATATATTTGTGACATGATAGGCATAATGGGAAAAATTTTAAAATGCTGCATTCCATTTCCAACTTCCGAAGAAATTAAAAAAAATATTCCAATATGTTTTGAAGGTTTTGAGGATGTTAGAATTGTATTAGACTGTACTGAGATTTATGTCCAAAAAGCTAAATGCCTGTGCTGTCGTATTCGTTTTTATTCACAGTACAAGTCTGCACAGACCGTAAAATTTATGACGGGGGTGTCTCCGGGCGGTCTTATAACTTTTGTAAGTGAACCCTTTGGGGGTAGAGCCTCTGATAAGATCATCTTTGAGAAGAGTGGAATAATTAATAAACTAGAAGGTGGGAGGGATAAACTAATGGTTGATAAAGGCTTCTTAATTGATGATATATGTATTAAACATAAAATAGGGCTTATTAGACCACCTTTTTTTAAAAATAAAAAGCCGTTGAGTGCCGAAGAATCTACATTAAACACTAAAATAGCTTCAGCTAGAGTCCATATAGAAAGAAGTAACCAAAGGATTAAAGTGTTTAAAATATTGAGTGAAAAACTTCAGTGGAATTTAGTTCCCCAAATTAATGATATTTTTATTACTATCTGTGGTATGACAAATTTATCTAGCCCAATAATGGCAAAAAACAGATTTTTTGCTGATTAATGTTACTAATGAAAAAGTAGAGTTTTAAATCTATAACATTTTGGCATGTCTTAGTTTAATTACATCATGTTATTATGTCAGGCATCAGTTATCAAAATAATTTTGAATTTGTCAATAAATAAATTTTAACAATAAAGTCGACACTGGAAGATGTATTTAAGACTTGGTTAGAAGCTTTGAATAATGTTACCGATACTCAGTGGGACAATTATGTAAGATTATCTTTAAAAACCCTAAAAATAAATGTTCAGCTGGGAAATGTATTTATTAAGTACGAAAATAAATTGTTCTAGTATTTGTAGACAAAATGTAAAAAATTTATTTTAAAATATAACATAAACAGAATTACTTAAAAATAAAAAATACAAAATAGAAATCAACAAATTCGTCACTTAAAAAAAAAAAATTCGAAAAATTAAAAACTTTACAACATAAATCTATTTTAAATTAACGTTTAAAAATACTATTTTTTTCACTGTTTCTGCATTTAAGCGTGATCTTCGGTCTGTTAATATTTTTCCCGTTTTGGAAAATATACGCTCACATGGGACCGAGGTGGCGACTGTACCTAATTTTTCACTTTTGATAAATGTGGATAATTATAGGCATACTTCTGCCACCATTTAAGTGGATCGCTGTCTCTTGCTAGTAGTTCATCCTCTAAATATCTTTGTACCTCCACAATACCTCGAGAAGAAGACGTACCACTAGGTTGAAATGAAGCTGCTTTTTTTTCAAAGTGGCTCCAAATTGACATTTTTTTTAAGTCTATTTGAGTGCTGGTAGAAGGAACAGCACCATCAATTTCATCATCTTGATTGTTTATTGTTGTTTCATTCTTAATTTTATTAGCTACCAAATTTAGAAACATTTGTTTGGTTCGCTGTGCCACAGATTCATTAGAAAATCCAACATGTTTAAACCTACGATCTGGAAATGTCGACACAGCTAATGTTTTACTATTCTCTAGATCTCTAAGGCGTTCTTTGATACTGTTTAGCATTTTACTTACCATAGTAGGAGGTAAAGCACATAAATCTTGTTTTTTTAACTCTAGCATAATGTTCTGAAGTTGTAAAAATGATAACTCATGATAATGTAATGTAAGTTTTGCCGCCCATTACTTTTGTAATTGTTTCTAACGGTTCCAAACCTATTTTAATGTCTTTTAAAATATGCCATTCTTCAACAAATATTATGGGTAAATTAGCTTTATCTAGAAGGGCCATAGTTGTTCTTACTGCTTCTTCTAAATCAAGAATCTTTTCTACCATATAATATGTAGAGTTCCACCTCGTTGAAACATCTTGTAAAAGTTTTTTTGGAGTTTTACCGGATTGTCTTTGTACATCCAATAATTTTGCTGAAGCTGATGTACTACGTTTGAAATGTGCCACTAACTTCCTAATTTTTGCTATTAGATCCTCAACAACAGTAATAGCATCCTTAGCTATTAAATTTATAGTATGGGCATAGCACCCTAAATGTTTCCGCTTTAAATTATCTTTGATTGCTTTTGTGATATTAGCTGCATTATCAGTAACAGCCAATAATATTTTATTTTCTAGGGCCCATTCAAAAACAACTTTTTTTAATTCACTCGTTAATTTTACACTGGTATGGGCCTGTGGAAAAATTGAACAATCTAATAGTACAGATTTTAGGTGAAAAGTATTTTCCTCTATAAAATGTACGGTTACTGCTACGAAACTTTCAGTATTAATTGAAGTCCAACCATCTGTAGTAAGGGTGACAGATTTTTGCATTTCTTATTATAGACTTTACTTCTGTAAGGGTTTCCTCGATTATTGTTGGTAACAAATTATTTGTGTTTTTCTAGTAGGAATCTGATTCGCAGGATTTAAAACATTTGCAAACTGTCTGAAACCGTTATCCTCTACAATACTAAAAGGCTGAAAGTCTTCTGTTATCAGATTCAATAAACATCTGTCAAACTTATTTTGCACAACACGTCCTACGGTTTTTTGAGCATAGTCTAATTTAGTCTGTGTTACTTTCTTACTGGAAGAAGGGGCTAATTCGAGATCATCACTATTTTCTGAGATTGGTCTCTTACTGATGGTTATTGGATTTTGTGGCTGAGATATGGCACTACCTTGTTCTATTTTAGTAACTATAGTAACCAAAGGGTGCTTTCTTTGCAAATGTTTTTTTTAAATTAGTCGTAGAACTTTTATAACTAATTATTTGATTGCACTTCGCTTTGTCGTTGGTTTCTGTTTTAAAGTAATCCCAAATCACTGACCTATTTTTTCTGTTCATTGTTTAAATTAATACCACAACAGTATAGCGAATTATTATAAAATATCAACGTCTTAAAGAAATTAAATGATTTAAACAAACAACACTACTACAAATCGTTAAAATTGAATACTGACTGACTAACTTTCTGGTGCAAATGTAATGTTTGTGGTGTCCATTTCTTGTAATAAGATGTTTTTATTTAATTATTTATTTATTTAAACTCAAACATCATGAATGACCAAGAACAGAAAAACAAATAATCAACAAGAAAAAACGATATTGTATTTTATTTCCAACTTCCAAGAAACTGATACACCTAAGAAAACATTTGAAAAGAACGAAACTCTTGCCATAAAACCAACTACATCGAAAAATACACTCTCTTCCCAGAACTAAAAAGACAGCAAGCAACAACCAAAGACGGAAGAAATAAAGTCAAGAACTCGTTTCGGAAGCAGATCCTAGATTTCTTATATTAATTTCGTTCTCTATATACTATCTTTTTATATCTTGTTTCTTTTATTTATTCTATTTCGTTTTCTTTGTTTTTGTATTGGTATAAATATTCTGTTTTTCTTTTATTATTAATTTTACTTACATATGGATCAATACATACGTGACATCAATTATGTGCCTTATGCTACTCTTGAATGTTTTAAAACAAAGGAAATAAATAGGTATTTTAAAAATAATAAGAAGAATGTGAGTATAATGCACCAAAATATATGCAGCCTTAATGCACACCTTGATGAATTTAAAATAATGTTAGACCAACTTGAATGTAGTTTTGACTGTATTGTACTGACTGAAACTTTTCAAATTGATGATATTAGTCTCTTTAATTTGGAAGGATATAAAGTATTTTATAATTATGGGCGGTTAAATAAGAATGATGGTGTAATTGTTTATGTTAAAAATGAATTAAGTGTAAATAGCACAACTATTGATATTGGAGACTCAAAAGCATTACATATTAAAATTAATTTGTCAAAAAATAAACACATTTTAATAACATCTATATATCGCTCACCGTCTAGTGCACCCACAGATTTTATTTTGGGCTTAGAAAATTATTTGGAACAAATTAAATACTCTGATATTGAATTTCATCTACTGGTTGGAGACATAAACATAAATATTAAAGAAGAAAACGACATTGTTTCAAACTATCTGAATGTATTATATGAATATAATTTACAATCCATGATAAACAAGTATACGCGCGTACAAAAAGATTCGCGAAGTTGCCTAGACCATATATTTTTTAAGGCAGTAACCCAGTCTTCTGTTGACACAGCTGTTGCTGCTGTCTATGAAAATAATATCACGGATCATCGAGCTACGCTAATGAGTTTTCAAGTAAAAAATATTACTAGAATTCCTAAAGCTGACAAGTATAAAACATACATAAATTATGATCAAATAAAAAACAATTTAGAAAATTACAACTGGGAAAAGTACTATAATACAAATGATGTAAATATAAAAACTCAAGAACTGCTAAATATATTACATCATTTTATCAACAAAAATACAAAAACCATAAAACTAAATAAAAACAAAATTAAACGTAAAAAATGGATTACCGCGGCTCTATTACAGTCAATAAATCATAAAAACGAACTTTATAAAGAATGGCAAAGTAACTTAAATGACGAAAGAAAAAAACAAACGTACTTTAATTACCGTAAGCATGTAAACGACCTTATAAAAATTACTAAACGAAAATATTATCAAACACAAATAGGAAAAAATGGAAACAATGCAAAAGATATCTGGAACTTAGTAAATTACAAAGACAAAACCGATCAAAACATAAATGAAATAATTTCAGAATCAGGAGAAAAGATAACGTGTAAAAAAGAAATTGCAGAAGAATTTAACAACTACTTTACACAGGTGGGCGAAAATCTAGCTCGCAAGATATCACAACCATCCAATCTTCCTATAACCCGAGATAAAAATCCTCACACCTTCTATTGGATACCTGTGACTGTTGAAGAAACTAGAGAGTTTGTGAGATCACTAAAGTTAAATAAAGCACCTGGCGTAGATAATTTAAAAGCCGAAATATTTAAAAAATTAGAGAGTCAATTATGTAAACCTATTGCTAATCTAATAAACTTAATTTTCACTAGTGGGATATGTCCTTCTCACTTTAAAATAGCTCTAGTTGCTCCAATCTACAAAAAAGACAAAAAAGAAAATGTATGTAATTACAGGCCAATATCCCTAATTCCAACTTTGGCAAAATTAATGGAAAAAGCAGTAAAGCAGAGGCTAACAAAGTTTATTGATAAGTATAGTCTAATTTCGGAGCGGCAATTCGGTTTTCAGAAAGGACTCTCAACTAACGACGGCCTTCAGTGTCTAGTTTCTTCAGTCTACAAATCTATTGATAAGACAGAACCAGTGGCAGTAGTATTTCTTGATTTGGCAAAGGCGTTTGACACTGTGAGCCATTCGCAGTTGTTTGATGTCTTGGAAGACGCAGGTATACGAGGGTTGCCACTTAAATTCCTTGAAAGTTACTTATCACATAGAAAACAAGTTGTAAAAATAGAAAATGAACGTAGTACTGAAAAACTGGTGTCATTTGGCGTGCCTCAAGGAACTGTTCTGGGGCCAATACTATTTAATTTATATTTAAATAATATATTTTCTTACAATTCTACAGGCAATTTAATTGGTTTCGCAGACGACACGGCTGTAATATATAATGCAAAAACATGGGGAGATTTAAAAAGTAAAATTGAAAATGATTTAAAAAATATATTCGATATTTTTAATCACAAATTACTAACAGTTAATCATAAAAAAACATATATTGTACCGTTTACTAGCTATAAAAATAATTTACCTGATTATAAGAAAATAATTGTCAACAATATCGATATCTATCTGAAAAACGAAATAAAATATCTTGGAATAAAACTAGATTCGCACTTAAGATGGACTTCTCATTTGTCAGACGTTGCTAAGACGTTAAGATTTTTATTGTATAAATTTAAACAATTAAGAAAAATACTGGATTTATCACATCTGAAAACAGTTTACTACGCACTTGTGGAATCCCGTCTGAGATACGGTATTGCCAGTTGGGGAGGAACCATGCCTGGTCATTTGGAACAAGTAGAAATACTCCAAAGAAAAATATTAAAAGTAATTACTTTTAAGAAAATGAAATATAGCACAGAGCTCCTATTTAAAGAAGTAAATGTAATGAGTTTGAGACAACTGTATATTTTTAGTTTGGTAATTTACCTTTTTAAAAACCGTGCTGACTTAAAAACACTTGACCATCATTATCAAACAAGAAATAAGTCTAAAGATTTTGTACAAACAAAAACAGCTAAAAAAACAATAGGAACTAGGTATTTCCAATTTTTAGCACCACGATTATTTAACTTTCTCCCAGAAATATATAAAATGTATTTAAGAAAATTAAACTCAATATCATCTCTAAAAACTATTTTTAAAAGATACATAAAATCATTAAAGGCCGATGACATTGAAAAAATTCTTGAAATCTAAGAATAATAATATGTATCTAACAAAAAAAATGTAAAAAAAAAAAAAAAAAAATATGTATACGAAGTGTAAACCTTTTTTACTGGTCAGTGTACCCCATGCTCAACCTTGAAGGTCTTAATGGGTTGCACGGATCAAAAAAAAATTTGTATTATTTTATATTATATGTACATTATATACCCTTTGTAGTAAGTTTACTGTCATTATATCATTTAGGTTTGTTTAGTTAAATGTATTTTTTTTGTCTATACTGTCTTATATAATTATTGTAATGTTCTTTAACTAAATAAACATTATTATTATTATTATTATTATTATTATTTACGTCAAGGGAATCACGGAAATCAAAGAAGTATAAATAAACAAAAGCGCCCAAATGTCGCGTACACAAATGTAATATGCATTATACGAGTACGTTCTTTCTCTGGAATTTTGAATGTTTATTTTATCTTTCATCAGGAAAGGCCGAAGACCTGTAATAATAACATACTTAGTCAAGAGATTTATTAACTGATATTGTATACCGGGTGTTCAAATTAAAGTGTTTCATATTTTTTTAGGGTAAACATTTTGGCTAAAATCTTTTTTATAGCTAACCATAATATGGCCAACTTTTTTATTCGCGCAGCAAAATTTTCAAGTAGGTGTTACTCCAAAAGTAAAAGTCCAATCAAAAAATGTTTCCTTTAAAAGTTTTTTTTTTATGAACTTTAAGAACTTTAAAAAATTCCACCTCGATACGGCTATATTATGGTCAGCTATAAAAAAATTAATTTCGCCAAAATGTTTCCCCAAAAAACAATAAAACTTATAAAATGCATATTTTCGGCGGTATTTAACTGTAACACTTTAATTTGAACACCGGGTATACATTAAACCTACACCTACTTAAAACAAAATACTCATATCGGGAAAATAAGTTACGATGAAGAAGGAACAGGAACGAGACTCATGCTTAATTTATCATAAAAAAGCTGCTCCGATAAAAAGCAGTTACTTGTCACAGGTTTTCTGTTGAAACAGTATCATCTGTCACTGCTTTTTTAAAATCCTCCAACCCATGTCTAATGGGCACTTACTTTCAAAATGATTCCCTCCCTCGACAGCGCAGGACCTGCTTAGCCGTCGTTGTAAAAAATGGTTAATTAGGACGACAGTTAAAAGAATTTCATTAAATGGTGTCAATTGTGACCGGTTGTATTTTATGTAACAACGAAGAAACTCGGCACCTTTATGGTGACTAATCCAATCCACTATAGTCTCGGGACTAAGTTGAAAGCACGGAGTACGAAAATACTTCAAACCCTATGGGGGAGAGTGGGTTACAGTGACCACCGGGACACAGTAGTTAGTTTGAAATAATTTTTAAACACATTCAGTATGTACGTTGTCCTCTAGCAGGCCGTAATTATTTTTTTAATTATACAATTAACAAAAAATTAACAAATAAAAATAATATAATATATAATATAATATTTATTATACATATTTTATAAACTGTTTAATTTAGTAAATGTTCAACATGTCCTCCTCCTTCTTGAATACAAAAATATAAATAAAAGAGGTAGTTTTTGCAAGAGTGACTCAAGGACAGACCTAGGCACACCACTGATTTTTATTTGCGTTTTTTGTACAATTACTCCTGACCTACTCTTAGTTTTGTTGATGTGTTAAGTCCAGGACAAACGAATTGCTCTAGAAATTCAGTTAAAAAATTGAAAATCGCTCGTTAACTAAGAAAGATACAAAGTCCATTTTGCTACAAAACAAATTTAATAATTCATAGTTCTTTTTGATTTTAAGATCAATAAAGCAAGTATCTTTATGTCAAAAAAAATACGGGGGGGTTAAAAGGTACCTAACCTCCCTACTTTTTTTAAGTGGGTCGCTTTAATTTTTTCCCTCCTTAGAATATTGGGCCTTTAAATCTAACACTGACAAAAATTCATCGAAAAAATCGCAACAGCAAACTTTTTACATAAAAAAAAAGTTTTTTAAATGTTATTTTAACGTCCTGTAACTTTGTTAGAAGTCAGTTTTTGATATAGGGTAGCGGCACCACTTATGGCCACTTTAAGAACTTTTAAATTATTTTTCTATTGGGAAAAGTGTAGGATTCGAAGAAAATCTTTTCGATCAACGCCTTTTGTGCTTTCTAATCTGCTCTATTAGGAGATCAACTGATATTAAAGATTCAATGTAAAATGAAAAATATAACGGTTTCTATTTTTACCTACAAAAATCCCCGCTTTTGGCCATCTGTTTCTACATTTGGCCATAAAGTTTCCCCACTTTTGGCCACCCAAAAATTGTTTAAAAATCGAGATACAACTTGATTGGGTATTGCTATATAACTAAATAATTATTGAACTACATAATTCTAAGTAAATCAAAATAACTTTCTGGTAACAAAAATAAGTAATACACATTAAAATACTTTATAAATGGCATTCATATCTGTTTGTAAATGTCTACTTGTCCTGAAAAAATTGTTTTACGCTTTCTGCCTTGTTCCTGGACAACAGGCTCGGGTAGTTTTGCTAAAATGTCGCCTTTATCTATGCTGCTAACGTCGTTTTCTATAGGATAAAACACAGTCTTCTCTTCATTAGCACTTTTAAAAGATTGTATCTCATACTCTTCTGATGAAAAGATATTTAAAATTTTTGCAACATATCTATACGTTGTCGTCGATCTTTTACCCAATAGTTTAAATGTTACAAGTACAAAATCTCCTAATTGCAGATCATTGCTACCGAACATTTCAATGTTTTCTTGTTCAGGTTCCATAAAGTCAATATCGTCTCCACTGCTACAACTTTCCTCCCAGTCTTCCTGTTCTTTTGAAGAAGAGCCCAATTCTAGGTTTTGTTTTTCAAGTTTTGTTGTCTTTTTTTGGAGTTTTTCGCCTTCTTTTTGTACCTTCATCTGTTTTTTCTGCTCTCTAGCCTGCTTCCTTTCTTGCCTTTGTTGTTCCTTTTCACTTTTAATTCTCTCACTTACTTCATGATACTCCACCCATTTATCAGATGTGACAACACTTGGTATGTATTCTTTTTTCCTCTTTTTCTTTGAGTCCGTTTTCTTTTGTTGAGAATAAGGAAGTACATTGTAAAATACTGCAGAAGGGATAGGTTTTTGTGGAAAAAAATATTTCGTTTGACTTGTTCTACATCTGAACGAGATATGCCAGCCATCGCAATATTGATATCATTCGACGTGGTTGGAACTTGGTCGTCAAAGTGATCAGTGACTTGTTTTACATCTGGACGAGATGTGCCAGCCATCCCAATGTTGCTATCATCCGCTGTGGTTGGAACTTGATTGCCTAAATGGTCAGAATTGGAATTTTCGGGAAGCACAGCATTTATCATATTATCATTTACAATAGATGTCTTGGGCGATACATTTTAAAGAGCATTGTTACCAGGTTCAGGCTTTTCTCTCGCCAAGTTTGGTAGACTTTCTACATCGTTTGTAATTTGAAACCAAATATTATACAACGATTTATCTTCAATATTACCTTCTCATTCGTAGTTTCTTCTTTTTGTTGTCTTAAATTGGTCCAGGAGAACCACATCAATTTTTGATTCCAGATATTGAAGAAAAGCTGCAGCTTCAGGGTCAATATCTCGGGTTTCCGATATGTCGGGATCTCTCAAAATAATTTTGCTGTAGTCCACATCATTTGCTGAAAAAGGATACAGACCTGTGGCTTTAAATCCCGATATTATATTTGATGTCATTTTTGGATCGTTTATCAACTCAGACAGTGCCATGGTCAAAAGTGCTTTAGTAATCTCCTGGCCATTGTTCTCTATTTTATATTTTCGAACAACATTTTTCCACTTTCGTTTTATAGCCGCAAACACAGAGACATCTAACGGCTGGAGGATATGAGTAGCGTTCGAAACCAATGCTATTAATATTATTTGATTTTCTCTGCAAAATTTACTTAAATGAAGGGTTAGATGAAATTTATGTCCATCCAAAAAGACGATAACGGGTAACTCTATTTGAGACTCTTTAAGGTATGGGACAAATACGTTAGAGAAGTACTCATAGAAACATTCTGCAGTCATCCAGCCTTTTTCACTCTTCCCAAGCCCCCAACCTTTAGGAGCTGCATTACAGACAGCTGATGGAACCCGGTCGTGAAAATAGTAACCGGAGGAGCAAACTTTCCCTCTACATCAGCTGTGAAAAGCGTAGTAACATTTTCTTTATCTGATGAGGTTCGTTCATCATAGACGTGTTTTCCTCGCGGTCCAATTATAATACCACTTTTTGGTGCTAAAGCGAAACATGTTTCATCCATATTAAAGATCCTTTGCGGATTTTCTAATATACTGGTTGCATCGATATCGCTTAAAGTCGTATGAATCTCGTCGAACCATTTACGGATTTTCTCTTCAGTTACTGCGCCTCTACCACCGTAAATGTATTCGGCTTTCTTCTGAGAAAGATGTTTGTGTCTATTAAGGAAGCTGTAGTACCATTTTTTGCCAGGACGACCATTGACAAAAGGAGTTTGAATATTTGCCTCTCGAACAAGTTTTTGTACTGAAGTCAGGAGCCCGTCTTTGTCTATTGGAAATCCCATCTTCGCACATTTTAATATCCATTCGACTAGGCGGTCTTCAGTCTCTTTTCCCAAGTGAGAATGGAATCCGCAGTGCCTTGAATATCTTGGAGACTTTCCGGATATTTTATTACGCAAAGTAATTCTCGGTACATTAAAGTTACGACTTGCTGTGGCCACAGCCATTCCCTCAGATATGGCATTTAAAGCAAGATTTACTTTTGTAGGTGAGTACTGAAATTTCGCTTTACTCAACTTTTCTACTCTGCTTTTATGGTTTTTCTTCGGTGCTTTTGACATTTTCACTAAAATAAATAAAATATATTTATCTGAAACATGTTGAATCGGTAGAAAAGTAAACTGGCCAAAAGTGGATTTTGCTTATCTACTTATGGCCAGCAGGATGGCCATATGTGGGTAACTAGTGAATTTTTAGATTCCACTTATGGCCACCCTCTAAAATCTGTCAAAAAACTATCTATTTACCTTATCTATCGCCTCAAATGCAGATAAATTAACATTTAGTACTGGATTCACAAAGATTTTTTCAGAACAATTTCTTAATAAAATTCGTTAGTTTTCTTGACACCTTCAATGCACTGCCACTCAAACTGCTACAATGAAACTAAGGTATGGGTTAGATAAGTTTCTGTCTCTGTCCCCACTTACTATGGTATTATTAGACATTTCAGCAGCTTTAAGCTCATTGGTGGATACACGCCATGCTTATTATTCCACCAATTACAGTAAACTGGCCATAAGTGGGGTAGTGGCCATAAGTGGTGCCTCTACCCTAGGTAAATATAGTCAAATACACTTATTTTTTGGTAATCTATCTGAGGAAGAATTTATGACATACCTTTTTGAAACACCTAGTATAGATATCTTTAATGGAAGGATGTTTCTACGTTTTAATTGTTAATGAAATTTACCTTTTCAACTCTATTATTCAAACAAGTCATAGATCTTAATTCTGTTTCATTAATTAACGTGATTTAATAAAATCGTGTAACATAAACTTTTGCTTATATTCCGTTAGCAAAAAAAAAAACATATTTTTACTGTTTCTTATCAAAAGTGAATTAATGTTCTAAATAACGTATAAATATTATAACATTCCATTTACAATTTTCAAAAAAACTTCTAAAAATGGATATTATTTAAACAACGCTACCTACAACTAAATCATAAATATATTGAATTATTATAGCGTTTTAGCTAACGGGGCATCTGGGGCAACAACTACTATTCTGCGTCTGAAAGGTGAAGACAGCTTCGCGCCTTTAGATATAATTGTAACACTTGAACGAAATATTATTATCTTGGGTGATTTTAATATTGATTTTAAAGTTACTTCGAGAGGTAATACCCAGCTCAATTCTATTTTAATGTATTTTGGTTTAAAAACTGCGATTAATGAATATACTAGAGTCACGGCTACATCTTCCTCGTGTTTAGATAACATAATTACAAACTTAAACGATTCTTCAATAAATTCGGGTGTTTTTGAACCATGTATTTCAGACCATCGAGGCCAATTTATAACTGTGAAAAACAATATTGAAAATTAACGAGAAATTTTTTACAACAGGATTTTCTCAAAAATATCTTGATAAAATCAGATATTCCCCAAACTCTATTGACTGGGTTATCTTTGAAACAATTTATGATGCAGAGTATCTTGCAAATTTTTTAATAAAAACCTATAGTGATTTGGTTGTCAAATTTTGCCCACTTAAAAAATGCGTAGAACAAGCAAAAAAATCACCGGTAGTTTGGTTCAATGAAAATATAAAATCTATGAGAAATACTCTATCAGCTCTTAAAGTTAAAGCAGAAGTAAGCAAACAGTCGAGTGATTCAAACACTTATAAACAATTTAGAAATCAATATTATCTTACACTGAAAAATACCAAAAAAACTGCTTATAGTAATTACATAACAACATCTAGCAATAAGTCGAAGGCCTGCTGGCGAATAATTAATTACGAAGGAAACAGAGTTGTCTCTAAGAACAGTAATATTAATCTTAATCCTGAGGCATTTAATGATTTTTTTACAAATATTTCTCTTGAAATAATTTAATCGCTTCCAAAAGTATCTAATAAAAGCCTTTTATCTTTTAAAAACTTTCCTGCACCAGTTGGATCATTTTTTTTAAATCCGGTCACACAAAATAAAGTTTTTAATACAATAAAATGCTTAAAAAACTTTAATTCTCTTGACGTTCATGAACTAAACGTTAAAATTATAAAACAAACTACTGATTTGTTGTTAGATCCTTTCACCAATCTGATAAATGTTATATTTAGTACTGGAGTCTTTCCAGATTGTTTTAAATATTCGAAAGTTATACCATTACATACAAAAAGGCGATAAGAATATCGTGGACAACTATCGTCCAATTTCAATTTTATCTGTATTTAGCAAGATCGTTGAAAAAATCATTAAATCACGTCTTTATAGTTATTTTGAGTCAAAAAACTACTTTAGTGTGACTCAATATGGTTTTCGAACCAACAAATCAACGGTTCAAGCTGTAATAGATGTTGTTCATGGAGTGGTGTCTGGCCTTGAGCAAGGTAGTCACACAGCAGTTACTCTTTGCGACCTGTCGAAAGCTTTCGACTGCATTTTTCATGACATCTTGATTGAGAAGTTAAATTACTACGGCGTCCGAGGAAGTGCGTTAAAACTTTTAGAATCTTATTTATCTGGACACTTTCAGGCTGTCACATTTCAGAACCAAAGGTCAAATTTTAGTTCGGTTAAGCATGGAGTTCCACAGGGCTCTGTCTTAGGACCATTATTATTCATTATATATACCAACGATTTAAGTAATTATGTGGGTCCTTTTAAATCTGTTCTATTTGCAGACGATACCACTTTTGTGTACTCTGCAAAAAATGAAATTGAATTGAAAAATACTGCAGAAACTATTATCGCTAAAGCTGAACATTGGTTCTTAGCTAACAATCTCATGTTAAATCGAAGCAAATCTCAGGAATTGCAGTTTTCTTCGGTTACCGATTCTCAAAATTGCAATAGTGCTAAGTTACTTGGAGTTATGTTAGATAGTAGTTTAACTTGGAGAATTCATATAAATAAATTAAAACCTAAATTATGCAGTACCTTATATCTGTTCAGGCAGCTTAAAACTATAATAGATCGTAACATATTAAGAACGATTTACTTTTCCCTATTCCATTCCCACATAAATTATGCCACTGCACTTTGGGGTAACAGTTCAGATGCAATTTTGATTTTTCGGCTGCAGAAGAAGGCTGTTAGAATCATAACTGGTTCCAAATTTAGAGAACATTGTCAGCCCTTGTTTATACAGCAAGGAATAATGCCTCTACCAACGATTTATAATTTTAGTGTCCTTTTGGAAATTCATAAGGAATTATCATGTCTTTCTAGACAGTCCGACATTCACAAATATCCTACCAGACAAGCTAACAACTTAAGAATAAATAGATATCGTCTAAATACATCAAAAAACAATTCCCTCGACCTTGGTCTTTATAATGTATTGCCATCCGAGTTTGGGCTACTGGAGTTCAATTCATTTAAGAAAAAATTAAAAACATCTATGTTGACACATTGTTTTTATTCCGTAGAGGAATATATCGATCGGTGTAAACTTACATAGTTCTTAAACCTTCTACTCTATTTGTTTTTTCTTATCTTTTATATATACTCACCTAACTTAATTTGAATTATTTTATTCTACTTAACAATTATATGTATGTAGTTATTTCATTTGTGTAGTTCTGTATTTTATGTTTA